GAATCTTTAAAAGATAATTGGCAAATCAAGGTACGCATACCACGCTTCTGGTTGGTCAATTGCGAATAATTCCTTTATGCAACTGGGCAATTTAATAAAACATTAAAAACATATCCTACACGTTGATGCAATGAATATACAGGAAGATGCAATCACCTCCTACTATCCTTTGCAGTTGGCCAACATCCTTTCGACGATTTCTCACTGACAATGACTCAACTTTTCCTTCAGTTATTCTTCGATTTATTTGCGGCAAATTGTTTCAGTTTTTTTGCGCAGCAAAAACCACCATTTCCTGGTATTATTTGCTTAGAGCGCAGCCAGCTCGAAGATTTCCGTTGTTGCAAAAAAAAACAGTAGTTGATCCGAGCGAAATTTCCTTCATGCTAGAAACGAAAAAGTTTTAGCCGAATCGAGCCGGCCAGGCAAAAATGTTACCCAAAAGACTGCACACAGTTCCGATCTAGTTCCCTCGGACGCGGCCTCTAATGAATTAGCCGACTAACGTTTTTAATCGCTTGTTTGCATTTTCGGATGGATCGTGCTGAAGCTGAAGAGCACCTTTAATGAGGTTTTAATCACCCAGAGGACAAACCAGTAGTTTCAAGGTGCAACTCGAAATTGCATCTAGTTGGATCCTGGTTTCTTCAGCGCGTTTTGCATCCAATCTAGGCCGAGTCGTTCTTCATTTAAAGGAAATTCTGCGGTTTTCTAGTTATTCGACCCGACAAGGGCAACATTGTCGATTACCAATTTAAAAGCGTCAGTTTTCAATTAAAATTTGGAGGTCTTCGACGATGTAATTAGCAAAGATGTTTTGAAGCACGTCTTCAAACGGTACCATTTTGCCATCAAGGATTTTCATTGATTTTTTCAAAATCAAATTACCGAAAAACCATCGATTAAACTGGTTCAAGAGCGGAAAAAAGGCCAAGCGAAACCAAGGAAAGTAGCCAATAAGAATGAAAGTTGATAATGGAAAAACAAACGCGACGGCACCAAATAATTGAATAGAACAAGCCAAAAAATGGAGAAAGCATTTTCGGTCTTCACCTGCTTAAGTTGTTGCTGCCGACTTCAGATTGCGCAAAAGTGACTACAAAAAAGCGGTAATGAAAAAGTGCATTTTCAAATCATTCATCACAAAATTATGCCTCAGTTTGGCGTGAAACAACCTGCAAACTTGCAAATTATTGCGCTTTAAAGAAGACATTTCGGCTTTTTGCCAACATCAGAGACCGTTTCTTCTTTAAAGAAGT